AAGAAATATTTTCAAAAAATGGCCAGAAAGGTCACTGTTCACGCCGGAAAAATATAAAAGTGGCCGGAATTTGATTTGAATAAGATGGGTAGGCTCGGAATTTTGAGGAGAGCACACTGTCCTGAAGAAGCTTCACGAAAAAAAGGCCGGAACCTTCGCCGGAAAAGTTGTTGCCGGCGCGTGGAGGAGCGTGGCGGCTTTTCTGCCGGATAAAATTTTAGGGGTTGGTAGTCGGAGGGTGATCTACCTCGTGGTGGTGTTGGTTTTAGCACAACACCGACAGAAAGTGACTTTCACTTAGACAAGCCTTAGGTCACCGGAAAAATTACACGATGACTAAGTTCTTTCTTCCCGGTTAACGTTGGAATGACGCACAACGATCTTTTCTCACTAATGCTCCGATACCATGTGAGAAGGCACGGGAGAAAATATGTTATTGATATTGGATGATAAATACAATACAATAGGTCTCTATTTATAGCTATACACTATAAGGAGATATTACTCCTCTTCCAATGTAGGACAAGACTACACTATACATATCTATAAACTAACAAAATGAAAACAGTAGGGGTAGGATCGGAATTACCAGGTGACCCAACTGTTCTGAAGGAAGATTTTCAAAAAATGGCCGGAAGTAGTCGTACGCGCCGGCGCGTGAGCTTCTGGTGGCGTGTGGAGGCTGCTGCCGGAGCTTTTCACTGGGGTTTGGTCGCCGGACAGTGACGACTCTTGTGGTAGTGTTGGATTTTGCACAACACTGACAGAATTAAAGCAGATAGAAAACAACCTTAAAAAAGTATTGATTTCTCTTTCCCGGAATCGCTGGAATTTATGCACAGCGATAAATCTCTCACAATTGCTCTGATACCATGTGAGAAGGCACGGGAGAAAATATGTTATTGATATTGAATGAACAATACAATATAAGAGGTCCTTATTTATAGTTATACTATATAAGGACATACTACTCCTCTACCAATGTGGGACAATACTACACTATATACATGCTGTAAACTAACAGACAGGAAGGTGAGGAGATCGAGCATTAGGGTGGATGGTTAGGAGTGAGTCGAGCGCCTTTCTTCCTTCGTATCGGCTGTGGGGCTAGCCTGTTAGGGTATTGTCTTTGGGTTATTAGTGGTGTAAGTTTGTATCGACACTATTTTTCCGTTTTTTTTTTCATAGTACGGTGACTCTATTACTGGTTGTTGTTATTGCTTTTCTATCCATTTTCTGTTTCCTACGATGCTAATATTATCTCTCTGATTTTTGTTGTTGTCACAATTCTATTGTCTTTTTTTCGTCTTCTTGAGCTGATGGTCTCTCGGAAACAACCTCTCTATCCCTCCGGGGTAGGGGTAAGGTCTGCGTATATTCTACCCTCCCCATACCCCACTTGTGGGATTTTACTGGTTTGTTGTTGTTGTTGTAAGTGCAATACTTTGTTTTGACACTTTCACTTGGCAATGGCGTTTGCCGCTTTTACTTCCATATTTTGCAGCCAGTCAATTGTTGTGTCATTTNTGCTGCTTTTACTTCCATATTTTGCAGCCAGTCAATTGTTGCGTCATTTCTGGCTTCTGTAACCGTTATGTTACCCCTACATTAACTACTCTAACAAGGATTTCATATAGCAGCTCATGCAACTTTATCATGATATGGACTAATAAAAATACTTTTTTCAAAGGACTTGATTGTTCCTAGTGTTTAATAATTTTTTGTTGTGCCAGAGCCATTGTCGTGGCTGGTTAACAAGGAAAAGGCTGCTCATTGCAAAAGAGGCTGTTATACAGATTCAAACTGCAATTCGGAGCATGAAATACCAGAAAGCATTCTTTCACCAAAGGCATGCTACTTTGGAAATACAACGGTTTGCAAGAGGAGCCATTACTAGAAAGAGGCTCCTAGGTACCTTTATTTTCAATCACAAGTTTCATTGTTGACTTTTCTTATACCTGTCTATAATCAACTTAATGCATGGTATTCCAGGGGCCTCTTGCTACCGTAACATCTCAAAATTGGGTTACCAAACTCTTGCACTTAAAATACTATTGCAAGCAGTATTAAAGTTGCAACGGTGGTGGAGAGGTAAACTGCTTCACGAACAGAGAACAAAAGCAGCACTTGTCATCCAATCACATGTCCGAGGATGGACAGCACGGAAAAGTGCTTCAAGAAACAAGCACCAAATTGTTGTGATCCAAGTAAGTCGTAGATCTTGCTTACCGCGCCCTGCTTCCTTAACATGCTTGAGACAACTTCTGAAGTTCATATGTATTTTATAGTCCTTTAAATGCAAAAAAATGGTACTTCTGCGTTGTTTATTTCCTTTGTGACTATGGCTGGGTAATTATATTTTACTTCCAGCTTTTCTTGTCACATATTGAAGATTAGCAAGGACTACTTCTCCTTCTTTTTCACTATTTATCTCTTCCTGCAATGTAGATTGTAATATTTTCGCTCACATCTGAAACATAGCCGACAGTGCGTATGACCTTTGCATCCAATAATTCATTTCTAATCCCCCCCTTTGTAGTTGATCACATGTTTCTAAGATACTTTTTACTTGATTTTGTGCTTTTAGATCATCTGGAAACTTGATTTTGTTCGTGGAGAAAAGCTGAACAATAATGCTTAAAAATATATTAGCAAGCAGTTCTATTTAATATAGCAGGAATGGCCTAGAGCAAATCAAATAACAATCTTTAAAATCTCTTGAATCATGTGGTTGTTGTTGTCTGAATCTTCCAGCACTGAAAAGAGGGGTCCTTACTTGAGTGAAATATGGTTCAGCTCAATATCAGAAAACATCTTTGCAGTATCGGCGTTGCTACATTATGTATATGTTTCAAAGTATTTGTATCATCAGATAGAATGGGTGTAGTGAATTGAAGCAGCGTCACTTCAATATAATTCTCGAAAGGTGAAGTTCTTGTGATGATCTTAGGGTGATTTTTTCTGTGAATTAGCTATGAGGGAAGCAATTGGGGAATATATGAAGGTGAGAAGATGAGAAAGAAAAGATTCTTGTCTGAAGAATAGAACGTGATCATGTAGTACTGTCAAATAAAATATATAGCTCATATATGCTTTGAATCACTAAGTTACAGATGGGAATAAATGCACAAGGGTATACTATCTCAACTATATGTGTCCATTTTCACTATCTCAGCTATATATGTCCATGCCGTAATGATTTCTAGCCGTATTGAATGAAGCTCAGTTTTACACGATTAAACCTGTACGTATTGTGCCTATACTGTAGGATGTCTGCGAGCAATCTTCTTCTTGAATAATTTTCTTATATATGTTCCAAATATATCCAAATTTATTTTTGGAGTTGAATCAGCAGTATCTTCATTCTTCTTGAACCTTCTTAACTCATGCATCATTTTTCACTCTCCAGGCATACATGAAGGGTTACCTTGCAAGAAAAGATTTAAGAGGGCAGCTTCTTGATTTGCGTCTGAGAGTACAAAAATCTGCTGCAAATGTTGATGATGGTATGCGCATAATAAACAGGCTCGTTGCAGCACTGTCAGAACTTCTGAATATGAGAAGTGTCAGCGACATTCTTCGTATCTGTGCAACTCTGAGTAAGTGTTTGCGCATCTGGTACAGATGTCTTTGGTTTTTTCTTGTTTTCAATGTTCATTCACTTAACAGTGCATAGAAGGGTGTATGTTTAGCTTCTCATGAGTGATGAGTTCAGTCAAGATAGTTCACCTTGGGATCATAAGGAAACAATATTCCTCTTTTTCCTTTTCCTATGATAGATATGGCAACACAACATTCACAAAAATGTTGTGAAGAACTTGTTGCTGCGGGTGCTGTTGGTACATTGTTGAAGCTGATCAGCTCTCTCAGCCGGAGCCTACCTGATCAAGAAGTTACAAAACATGCACTCTCCACTCTCAGAAACCTTTCCCGATATCCACACTTGATTAATGTACTAATTAATAGCTGTGGATCAGTGGAAACAATCTTGCGGGAGTTTTTAAGGTATGCTATTGAAATTGAGCATTAAAATCAAGTTCCTAATGTACTTCAGGTGGCATAAGCTTTATATGTTTCTGCTTTGCAAATGCTTGTGCAGAAACAAAGAAGAGGGATATTTCATTGCTTCAGACCTTTTGAAGAAGATATTCACAGAGAAAACAGGTGTTGAAGCTGTGCACAAGTTGCCTGCTCTTTTGAAGAGATTGCGCGATCATGTGGAAGAGCTTTCAAGGAAAGCAAAACCTGACAAGAGGTCTGCGCTTCAGTATAGCAACCCCATTTGCTTAATCTTCTTCTCCATAGAATAGATTAGTTGTGGTAGATATGTTGTCTAATATTGAACCTAATTTATGCAGGACCAGGACCCCACAGCCACATGCAAGGAAAGAGCTGGACAAAAGATTGAGAGAAGCTGTTGAGATATTGGAATTGATTAAAACCTCCATCGGATATCCAACTAGACGACTCTCTTACAAGGTGTAAGAATTTTCTTACTAGTTGGATAGGAGTCTTCTTCTTTGTTGATATTGTTAAATATCCATTTAGTACATCATGTTTAGCAATATAAAATAGAAACTTTCCTTGCAGATCAGTTAGTGAGTTGTGAAGATATCTTCACTCTATACTTCTCATTCTCCAACACCATCATTAATCTAACTTTTAGTTAGTCCATTATGGACTCTAGGCTGTGATATGTGAGGTTGCTGTTAGTATTAGGATTAGGATTGTTGTGTCTAGACCGACTTAGGTTTCCCAATGGTAGGAGTCAAACTTTTTGCAATTTGTGATTTTTGACTGATGACCTTTGTAACTTTTGGTTTTCACCTACGCTGAGTTTAATCTCCGTACAGACATCATGATAAAAATTTTACAATATCAGTCAACTCAAGTTAATGTGCTACAACATATTAAAATTACACTAATAGTATAAATTCTTTACGCTTATTGAAGTTAAATCCAACCGGTAATGTCGATACTTCTAAATAATCATAAAAGATTTACCAAGGGTTTTTTTCCTCTAACGAACAATTTAACAATTTAATGCAAGTGACATGCTTGGGCGGAAAGTTCATTGTTTCTCAAATATTAAATGTAATGGGCTATTCTAATTCTTTCTGAATTCATGTGAAATTTTCATATATTAATAATTCAAGGACGGTAAATAGTTAATTATCGACTTTGGATTCACTAAATTGGTCAATTTCCCTGTGGGGTCGCATTAAATTTGGATAAGATATTTTTTATTGCATTTATCCTACTGCTGTGTGGGGCTTCTGCAAGTTGCAGCCTTTTGCTGAAAATCATACGTAATTATAAATGTTAAGTATCCAAGTTGGCAAGTTGTGAGTTTCATTTGGCAGGGGAATTCACTTAATAAAGTTGGTTAAAGTAAACGCAAAGTAAAGGGGACTGTAGGGCCCACCCTGTGGCTGCCGTCCCGACCTTTATCTTTTTCGAAGTGCATCAAAGGAGATTCAGATTCCATGAGCCAAAATTATCCACCAGCAAAACCTACTGTCAAATTCTTCCCTCTTTTTTCACTATTCCTTCTCCTTTAGATTCAAGATCAACCGAGAACTTGATTATACTGAAAAAGAAAACCTTTAGTTAGAGGGTGTTTTATCCACTTTAGTGAACCTACTTGGTAGAAATGTTAGAATTTAGACCAATGTGTGTCACGACTCAAAATCACACCACAGGCGTCATGATGTCATTTAGTCTCTAAGACTAAGTAAACCGATCATAATAATAATTTAAGCCATTTAAAAAAAAAATTCAAGTGTCAAAACCAACAACGGAAATATTCAAACAACCTCTCAAGACTGGTAATAGTGAGTCACGAACTCTAACTGAATATATGAAATGATCTCAAGGATCGAATATACAATACTGTTCAAATAATAATTGACAGTACAATAAAATAGAAGGACTCAAAGGGACTGCGAAGATCAAGCAGCTCTACCTTGAATCCTTGCGATCAACACACTAACTCTGCTCGAGTCCAATATCTCTGGTACCTAGCTCTGCACAAAAATGTGCAGAAGTGTAGTATGAGTACATCACGGTCGGTACTCAGTAAGTATCAAGACTAACCTCGGTGGAGTAGTGACGAGATACAGTCAGGACATTCACTGGTCTAATAATCTGTGCAATATAGCATACAAAATAACAGAAAATAAATAGCAATGATGGCAACAAGAATCAATCAAGGATATAAACAATAAGGCCACAAGAACACCATAAATATTGCCCAAACGAATAATGAACACAAGTACAACCAAGTAATCAAGTCTTTCAAATATAAATCTTTCACCTATAAGTTTTTCAAATAAAAATCTTTAGAATATAATCCTTTCAAATAAATATATTTCGAATATAATCCCTTCAAATAAATATATTTCGAATATAATTCTTTCAAATAAATAGCCTTTAATATAATTCTTTCAAATAAAAGTCACCCTGTGACACCTCATTTCATAATCATAAAAATACGGGTCTTAGCTCATTTTCATATTTTCGTAATACAGGTCTCAGCCCACTTTCATATTTCCACGGCACATCGTGCCCATATTTTTATCACAACTGCACAGGCAACTCACGTGCCAAAATATCAATATATAAGATTTACACGGATAACTCACGTGCCAATAATAAAATCATCATTTACTCGCGGCAACTCGTGCCCATATCTCATTTCACAATTGCACGGACAACTCATGTGCTAATATCATAATCATTATATATCCACGGCACCTCGTGCCCATATTTCATATCACAACCGCATGGACAACTCACATGCCAATAACATAATCCGTCCGGCAATAGCCATAGACTTACAATTTCAACATGTATTAAACTGTTATCAAATTTACTAAATTAACAAAACAAGTTGCACAAGATATAAAAGAAATCACAAGAAAATCACAATATCACATAAAAATCACCAACACAATAATCCCACATCATCACAGATCATCCCTGCCAATAGCCACCCTTATCTCTCCTATAGCCACCATTATCACTCCATATAATAGTCACCCTTATCCCTCCGCCCCGACAATATCAATAGCCAGCCACCCTTATCTCTTCGCCCCGACAATATCAGTAGCCACCTTTATCCCTACGCCCTGACAATATCAATAGCCACACTTATCGCTCCTATAGTCACCCTTATCACTCCTATAATAGCCACTCTTATCACTCATATATTAGCCTCCCTTATCGCTCAGTTTAATAGCCTCCCTTATCACTCCGCCCAGACAATATCCCAACACATATAACAACAATGAAATGCCATCCTTATACCTGTATAATATTAACAATGGAATGCCACCCTTATACGCCGTACAACATTAACCTAAATCACACAATAATTTACACAGAAGATTATCACAATAACACCACATAATTAACTCATAATTACAAATTGCCCGTAGGCCACAACCTTTCTAAAAGTACAACGAAATCAATTAATTTCACAACAAATAGCCCAAGGCTCCACACAACGTATATAAAACCTCAAAAATAATAACAAGGATGGAAAAATAGCTCAGCACAGGACAACGCCTTCTTTAATCCAAATTTCAGATAAATATACAAATGCCTCCTTTTAAACTTATTTAATTAATTATTTTCAGGAAATGTCAACTCAACAAACACGCGGGATTCACATAAAAATTAAAGTGGTAATCACACCAAATTATCATATAAAAATAAATTCGACAAACAAGGATTTGAGGTATGGCAAATAGAGGATTTAATAAATGCCAAAAATTATCTAATTTAATACATAAAAAAATGCCTAAGACTTTAAACCAATAAAATTTGCACATATAAGCCCGAGTACGTACTCGTCACCTCGCGTACACGGATTTCAATCACACAATTTCCATATAAAACTCAATGTCTAAGGAGTAATTACCCCATTCAAGGTTAGGCAAGATACTTATCTTTTTGAAGTTAGGCCGATATTCCAAAATAGCCTTCTTGCTTGAATTGACCTTCGGACAACTCAAATCTATCCAAATTAATTCTAAACCTCATTAAAATTCATCGGAAACAATTCCGGATAATATAACGTCGACTTAAAATTTCATATTAAAAAGTCAACCAAAAGTCAACGTGGGGCCCGCTTCTCGGAACCCGACAGAAATTTTACGAAATACGAACACGCATTTCGATACGAGTTCAACCATACCAATTTTATCAAATTTCGATAATAACTCGACCTCCAAATCTTAAATTTCCGTTTTGGAAAAGATTTTACAAAAATTCCAATTTCTTCCATTTAAATCCGAATTAAATGATGAATATAACCATAGATTTATGAAATATAATCACTTTCGGATATAGGACACTTACCCAAGTTAAAGTCTTGAAGAAATCCTCAAAATCGCCCAAGAACCGTGCTCCAAAAATCCAAAACAAAATGAAGAAAATGACCACTTTTGGTCCTTAAGTGTCTGCCCAATAAAAACACTAATCTGGTCGCTAAAAGTGCCAAATCAGGTCGCTAAAGGTGTGCACCTGAACTGTTTACACCAGCAATTTATTTTTCACTGAAAAGGCTCTAACTCCATCATATGAACTTGGAATTCGACGATTCTTGTTCCTATGAGACACAAATAATAATACGAACCTAGTCGTTTAATCAAAACTCAATTCAGAGCTCATTTGCTCAATGCGATACCAACTTCGCTCGTTAAACAATTAACTCATGTTTCGCGCTAAAAACCCAATCGCGACTTGATGAAATTAGACCAAACATTCCAGATCATTCATATAATTCATTATAAAACTCCAGGAAGTCTCGAAATCGAATTTCGATCTGTAGAACTAAAAATGGACCTTTGGATCATTACATTCTTATGCTCAAAACAATAACAAAACACCAAACACATTAAAAACACATCCAAAAACTCATGTGAGCCCTATGGGACCCACCAAGTATACTAACAAGTCCCAAAATACAATACAAACTTAGTCGAAGCTTCAAACTACGTCAAAAAATGTCGAAATTACGAATCGCACCTCGAATCGAATTATGAGTTTTCAAATCTTCCAACTTATATATTTTGCGCCGAAACGTATCAAATCAATCCGGAATGACTTCAAATTTTGCACACGGGTCATAAATGACATAATGGACCTGTTTTAATTTTCGGAATCGAATTTTGATCCCGATATCAATAAAGTCAACCCTCGGTCAAACTTTCGCCAAAATGCGTCGAATTGACCTACGGACTTCCAAATCCAATTCCGAACATACGCCTAAATCCAAAATCACCATACGAAACTATTGGAATCATCAAAATTCCATTCCTCAGTCGTTTGCTCAAAAGTCAAAACTCTGGTCAACTCTTTTCATTTAAGCTTCAAAAGTAAGAATTGTTTTCGAACATTCCAAAAACCAAACTCGACCGCACACGTACGTTATAATACATATTACGAAGCTGCTCGGTGCCTTAAACCGTTGAACAGGATGCCAATTCACAAAACGACAAGTCGGGTCGTTACAATGTGTCACAAGTTCAAATACAACAACAACAACAACAACAACAATAATAATCTAGTATAATCCTACTAGTGGGGTCTGAGGAGGGTAGTGTGTACGCAAATCTTACCCCTACCCTGGGATAGAGAGGCTGTTTCCGGTAGACCCTCGGCTCCCTTCCTCCAAGAACTCCCCACCTTGATTTTGGGGTAACTCAAACTCACAATCTCTTGGTTGGAAGTGGAGGGTGCTCACCACTAGAGCAAACAACGGAAAAGATGAAGATATTTTGCATCTTTCTGTGTTCTCTTTTGCAATTACAAATTGAAATTGGACACCGCTATACACCTCCTTAATTAACTAAATTCAACCTCCAATGGTGCATAAAATTCTGAATCTATCATTCCTAGATTTTCCTTAGAGAGCATTCATAAGATTTGGTTTTCTTTTTTTATTTAATTTTCTTTTGGGAGGATGGACCATGTAAAGAAGAAGGGATGGTTAGAGGAGAAGAGATTTAACCCCTGGCATCTTCTGCACCTTGGGTGATGCAGGGTAAATAGACTCCAGTCTCCAGGCCATAATTTTGTTACAGAGATATTATTCACAAGCTTAAAAGTTTTTGGAATGACAGCAAATTTAGTTTAAGGATTATGAGCCGAGGGTCTCCGGAAAACAGCCTCTCTATCCCTCCGGGATAGGGGATAGGGTTAAAATTTACGTATACTCTACCCTACTCAGACTCCACTAGTGAGATTCTACTGGATTTATGTTGTTGTTTTTTGTTGATTATCATGAATCTAAAGTATGTACAGATAATCAAAGAGAGCACAATCTTGAAATCATTATCTATTCCTGAGCAATGACCATTCCTCTCGAAACAATCAATGCTTACAAGAATAAGTATTACTAATATCAACCAATCTTGTTTGGAAAAAATATATCAAGCAGCTCTAGCACCAAGATTCACCATCCTTTTTGGCAAGTCAGCTGGCTCAATGAAAAATCCCCTTCTCACAAGTGTTCTTGGAACTGTGACTGTCAAAACACCATCTCTATAACTAGCACAAATTCCATTCATATCCACCATTCCAGGTAGCCGAAATTTCCTCATGAAACTCCTTGTTGGTCCTGTAGTTTCATTGGCAGCTTCAGTTCTTATTATCAGGTATCTTGAATCCTCAACTTCCACCTTTATTTCCTCTTTCTTCAGACCTATCCAAAAAATAAAAACATTCATTCAAAACTCAAGAAAATTAATACCCGATACAGGACAAAGTAAAGGGTGTTTAAAGGGAAAAAAAGTCTATTTAAATCCCCTACTGAATTTTGATTCTTTTTTTTGTTTTACCTGGAAGATCAGCAGAATATATGTGAGATTCAGGGGTCTCTCTCCAATGAACATAATTCTCAGGAATGAAATGATAGGGAAAGAGGAGAGGAGAGGTGAAGAAAGAATTCCATGTTGAGGGGTGGAAGGTTGAGAACTCCATGTTCTTGGAAAATAGAGAGAAGAGGATTTGGGAAGAAAACTTGGTGGCTGCAAGAGAGGTTGGTTGTGTTTTAGGGGATGAAAAGAGTGTTGATTTTGACCTTATATAAGCCTAGCCAAGATTGGTGGCATTGGTGATCTTGTTAGGCTTTTCATTAAAATAATGATTGGCTCCTCAATTCTTTGAAGGGAAAAAGCAAATATATCTATCCTGAACAAAGAGATGCATATGAGTTGCTACTTGCAAGTTTGGGCGTCTAATAGTGAAGTGACAAATCCAACCCAATTTTAGAAGAATCAAATAAAATAATTAACTACTTAGACAAGTGGGAAATGTTTCCTCTATTTTACTCTTTTAGGACTTTCGGAGATGATTTCCTTTTTACTTTAAGATTCTCTTGAGATCATTACATTATAACCACAAACAAAATTGTTCAATGGGAGAATATATATTGAAAGAACAAAACCATAGAATACAAAAGCAAAACAACCTTTTTAATATAACTAACGTTGAGAACTTCTACAAGTTCAATATTGAGACACAAATCGTCTACACCTATGACTTCTTTCTTCTTTTTTTTCCTTTTTTGGATTATCGGGGGGGGATTGGATTGTTATCACTCACAAGAAGGATTATATAATCATGAATATTGCTCCTATCAGTACAGAAAAGAAAAGAAAAAACTTAAATAGAACCTAACTAACAGCCGAAGTAATCCATAAGGTAGCATGTTTATTAACGATTTCAGCTAAGGACTAGTAGTTCAACGGATTCAGTGGGATTATGAGAACGAAGAGACTATGTTTGATTCTCATCTATATTTTTACTGATTGTAAATTCACCTTATATTATTTAAGTTGGTGATTGTAATCACTTACTCTCTAAAGTTCAACAATATACTTTTGCTCATCCCTTATTCCATTATGTCAATTTTTCGCTGAATTAAATATGAAACACTTGGATTGTAATATATAAGAGGAAGGACGATAAAAAGTTTCAAAATATTTTTACCTTTTAGTGTTTGTTCCTTAATGTCGTAGAATTTTCATAAAATTTTGTACGAATTCTCAATAACCAATTTTTACATAAATATATATTAACTTTATTGATTTTATAAACAATTATCCACAGCTCTTTTCTATTTTATCTTCACTTCTTTTTAGTATTCAGAAAATTTGAAGGTGAGTGGGATGCGAAGGACAAAAGTTGAAGTCGCCTGATATTGATCAAGTTGGATTGCACTTTTTTTTAGAAAAACAAAATAAAAACTTCCAAAACTGGTCATCAGGACTCAACTAATAAAATGTACTACCATTGATGGAAACAAAACACTGCTAGGTTACTACCTCCCACTAGCACAAGCACAAGCACGAACAATCACCTTGCCTTACTAATATATGAATTTAGTCGCATTGTCTTCCTCCAACAGGAAGGAGAGCAGCTGATTCTAGGGATGCCCATTTGTCCACGTCAAAAGGAAAGGAATCAAGGATATTACGTAGCTATTATGCATCAAGGGTGCCAACTTTCGCCACCTACCTGATCAGGGTTTCCATCCGAACTAGTGCCTTAAGCAGGAAGGTGGTGTGTCAATTTGAATCTATTTTCTTTATGCTACCGAAAGACGAAAAGGGGAACAGACTCGTTCCTTCCCTACGGAGGTGGTGGGACCTATTGGCATAATGCACGCTGGAACGTGGGAATTCGAGGTCTTATGAACTACTACTAAAAACTAACTTTTTTTAAGTTTTGTTTGTGGACAAACGATATCCGGTCAGGCTTATGGCTGAATCCTTTTAGTATCAATTTCTTCTTTTAAATACTGCTTATAGATAGTTTTCAGTAGAAAGGTTAGTTGCATACCTACTATAAGGGGGGTGCCCACTGAATCTGTCTCCAACTAATTTCATTTTAATTTCGTTGCGGGCCAGTGCACCGGTAATTCTATCGTCCAAAGCTTAGGGAAATGGAAGAAAACACAGCTTTTTCGGTCTCAGCTAAAATTTCTCCGGAATATACCGTGGTAGTCTTACAGATATATAATATACATCAGACCGTCGAACATAATAAAAAATAAAAGTTTAGTTCACAAATAATAATCATTTGATGAAAGAAACAAACACAGATTCCATATACGGACTGAAAACAATTTCGCTGCAAGGCATTTCTTTAACAAGTATCCCTCAGATGATCAACATACAGCTGAATATTGACAACAGTGTGCAAGACTTGAGAATTACAACATCAACATGGCTTTAGTGGATATCCTAATTCATGTATTTACTCCTAACAAAAAACAATTGCTATAAGATGGGAAATTAGTGGAAGTGCCAAAAATCCTCACAGGAGAACGGAAAGGATTTGGTGTTACAGGATAGCTAATATGTAACCCTGCAGCGCGAAGAACTTGTTTACTACTTGAGCACGAAAGTTCGGACTCATTGGTGAAATAAGCTGGAACGTTCATGGATTTTATCAAGTTAAGAGCTCCACCCCAACACGAATAGCTTCCTAACCCGCAATTCAAAGACACGATAATATGAGGAGTTGGCAGATAGCTGGCTTCGTCCTGGTAAAGACCCCTTACAAGGTTTACCCTCACTCTGCTACCTATTCCAGAAGTTGTCCCGGATAAATTAGTGGGGACTTCTGGCCCGACCATTATTATGTGTATATTGCCCATCCCATGGAGTAGATGACCAATATCAGCAAAGGCTGGCATCCAATCTAACTCACCTTCAGGTCCAATGTAGTGGAGTATCACCTCTTTGTTCTTGAGTAACAGATTCTTTGAGCTGATGTTGAGTGCTGTCAATATGTAATAGATTGTCAAGGGATGAGACAGAATATCTGCAACGGGACTCGTTAGTGGTAATGACCGGAGGCTGTAGTACTCTAGCCAACCAGATAAGAAGACTGAGCTTGATATCCCATCTCTAAAATGATTATGAAAAGGTGAATCATGAGGGTATTCATTCTCGTCCAAGCCGCCCCATGAATCCCAAAGTCTACCCGGAACAGGAAGAAGACCAAATGGACAATGGAAATAACAATTACATTTTCTTCTCCACATGCCTTTCTGGTGAATACCAAGTGATTCAAGCCATTTACAAGGCTGCTCAGCAGAACAATTAAAGATGAAGAAATTCATTGCCAGCTCTTCTTCTCTTTCCATCATGGCCCTGTAAAGTCCGCAAACATCTTTGTGCGCTTCCTTCCAATGCTGCTTCTGGCAGACGGAACTGCAATAGACCACCGCAGAGCAATGACCACAGCAAACTGACTGTTCTCTGCTGACCTTTTCCTCACACAGCATGCACTCCCTCAAACAGACAGCTGCATTTGATTTCACATCAATAAATGTCTCCTCCATTTGCGCTTCGGAATGCTTGGTGGGAGTGGAAGTTGATGACGAGCTATACTTTTCCTGATATCCTCGACCAGGAGGGTGTGAAATTGTTACTGCCACAAGATCATTTCCTTTGGCCATTTCAGCAGGCCATTGAACATCAACAGTTTCAATAAAAGGTTCGAAATATATCACTCTAGACCACTTTGGAGCTGCTCCATAATCTTGCTGAAGCAAAGGGTGCAGAAGAGAAGCTCCTTTCATTACTGCATACACAAATCTAAGCTCTTCAAGTGTTGGATTCCTAAACTGAAGCTCGCCAGTGGTTGTGCAGCGGCCAACGTCAATTACTGGATATCGATCTTCACCTGAGACCTCCAATGCCAACGATATAACAAATCTCTTATTTGAAGGGAGCATCACAGAGTCCAGGTCATAAGTAACCCGCAAAACCTCAATATTTGGAACCCGAATTGTCTCCCTAGGGCCAGTCATCTTCTTCGCATCATTTTCCGACCTAAACATATAAAGACCTATATCCCCACCATCCCCACCAATAAATTGGATACAAGAAAATGGCTGTTTTTTGCCAGACCAATCTGAATCCTTCCCTACCCTTACACCGAAAAGATGACTTGGGCGCAACCGCCTCCAAGGATCAGTCCTATACAAAGCTGCAGCAGCTCTGTATATAGACTTAATGAAAGGCGGTGCAATACCATCTATCTTCATAAGATTGGTTCCAGATCCAGGACCAAGTCCAGGTCCAGCTCCAAATTGCTCTTGAAATCTACCAAACGCATATTTTAAATGCACATCCATCTTAATGACTGACACCTGCAAAACTTAGATGTCACTTAACTCACGAAAACCAACCAACACCATGCATAAGTATATCAATAACAACAAATGCAGCAGCAAATTCAAGCAGAACAATGTAGTAATCTGTAAGAACAATTTCAAACTAAACACTGGTCCTTTTGTGACATATCATTTTGAATGACAAACCGAAAAATTGAATAAGAAAACGTGTTGCTCTTGCTTCACCATATAAAAAATTCTATAATTAACAGTACCAAGAAAAGAGGCTAAAAGGACAATTTATTCATAAATTGAGCAACGCAACAAATGCAGTACCAAATTCAAGCAGAACAGTATAGTAAGCTGTAAGAAACATTTCAAGCACCAAGACTGCTCCTTTTATGTGATATACCATTCTCAAGGACAAACCCAGAAACTAAATTATAAATATTTTTAATTTTACTTTATCGTATCAAGAATTTTCTACCAAACAGTAAACAAAGGTACAGGGAAAAATTATTTCTGGGTATTCCTGAAATTTACTTGAAAACAGCATTCATAAGTTTATAAGTATGATGAAAAGATCGTCCCAGCTAAGTGAAAATGCAGAGAAGAATGCTTCAATTTAATTTGGTGATAAAATAAAAATCGCTAGTACTAAAACATTTAAGTTGGAATTTCTTGATATAAACAAGATGGCAATGTCACCTTGATAATGATTTCTACTGAAGAAAGCTGCGATCTTTAGCTTTCAAATAACACAACAGTCAACTTAGAGTCAAGATCTGCTGACACTGACAAGAACTGTGTCTGAGAGGAATTGGAAATGGGAAGATCATCGTCGATCAAGTTGAATGGGCTTTATGTTGGGCCTAAGCTTTAGTAATATGGACTTTCTTGGGTCGCTCAGAGTTGTTGCCCGAGGAATTTTTCTTTCCTTTTTTGCTTACATAGTAGTAGTAAGACATATAAAGGCATTAATGGTAAGAGTCCTCCTATTTAACATTTCTCGAGGTGAAAC